AAAAAAAGAAGAGCAAGGTGGTTGAAAAATCTCGAGGATTCAAACGTAATCAAGACTCAAATGACAAACAAAAAAATAAGGAAATCTCGAAGAAAGCTTAAAGTAGATGAGTTGCGGCTTACAAGAGCAAACTAGTCAATATAAAGGAGAAGATAGAGATTACGTTCCCAATCAGCACAACATAGAGCGAGAAGGAGTCTGGCTCACGACTCCATCAAAAAAAGTGCTTCTCACGACGTGACACTCTTATGTTCACGACGTGAGCAATGGGGGGACCAGTTTCCTTTTTACCCTAAACATCAACATTTGAACATCACTTTCTACCCAACACTTACGACATGAACTCCATTATTTGATCCTCCACTTTGATTTTTTGGTTGAATATCTCGTTAATAGGAGCACAACAATATAAAGACAGTCGAAAATGGAGTTCGTATGTAAAAATTATGAATTTTATGTAATCTTCGTAAATTATGAAATTTAACATCAGCTAAGAAATTGTCGATAGTGTCTAAATGAAAGTTGTAGGAATCGAAAATACTTACACATGGATATAGAGAATGTTGAAAATGGAGTTCGTATGGAGGAGATATGAATTTTTGAAGCTCTGGTCGTACATACCCACTTAACCACGTTGCACCACCCACCAATCGACACGTATCACGTTCTGAGTGGAAGGATTGCCGACCAAGCTTAGATGTGGCGCACCTCTTGTCTGGGCGCGGTGCTTCTGCACCAAATTTAGCCTATAAATTCAGAACTCAACACTTTCATCCTCCACACTTTCTCTAAACAAACTCTCTCGATTTCCTAGTTCCTTGGCCCATATTTTCTTAGTATTTAGGGTATTTTAGCGAAGCACGGAATCCCCTGAGAGCCCGACATCTGGTAGCTATTAAACCAAAGTTTTTCCAATGCAATTTCCAGACTTTTGTCTAGGAAATCTATGTAAGTTAAACTACACTCAACTTTATTTTAGTGTAATTTATATTTATATTCATAGTCGTTGTTGTGAATCTATAAATAAGATTTATTAGTAATTCCATGTCATTATACTGATTGATCTACTTACCAGGGAGATTCCTAGAATGGTCACGTTGTTTTGGTTGATGGATTTCAGAAAGGGTTTATGCCCAAATTGTTGGGTTTTAGCCATAAGAACTTTCCTATGTGCGCATGCAAAACCCTATTGCTTGGATCTAGGCTTTCTAATAAACATGCTTTTGAATCCAAGACTTCTAATAGCTAATTAGGTTAAATAACAATGATGAAACAGATCTAGAATCATACCTTTGAATCCCTTGTTGATCTTGTTTGTCTTGGAGCTTCTAGAGTCACAATTGTCACTCCTCTAATGGCTTACAAACACCAATAGCAAGATGATTTAGGAGAGAGGAGAGGGGATGGAATTCGACCAGAGGTTCCTTGCTTAAGGTTCTGAAAGGTTGTTTACGAATTCCACATCCCAAGGGCCTATTTATACCTTTAGACTCCTTAAGGGTTTCACCCTAAACCCTAATTGGATAATCTTCTCTTAAGGCTATCCAAATCCATTCCATAGATATCCCTATGGACGATTTTGAGCTATCCTAAAGCTCTTAGAATCCGTCCAAGGTCCATCCTAATGGATTTACAGTCTAAAGTCTAACTATCAAACAATTGACAGTTTATACCCTCTTATTTAATTAATCTCTTTAAGTCACCAAATTAATACCAATTAATTTATGACTTATATTAATCAAATAGCTAAATATTATTCCTTATAATATTTACTCTCTCTTAACAAAATCATCCTTCAAGTTGCTATGGTGAAGGCAACCCAAAAGGACCATGCACCACCAAATATAGTTATAGCCTTAGACACTATTCCAACACAAATAGCCTTGCCTCCCAACTTTCTTGTCTGGTTGATCCTTATTTGATAGAACTCACACTATACATTGGGATTGTTGAGGAATTTAGACTGTTAATCAGTCATAAGAAAGATTAAACTAAGATTTAGTGATAATTGAACCTAGGTCACATTAAAGGAAAGGCTAAGTGTTGAAGCAAACCATTGCCCAACTTTCCAATCATCCACTTTAACAAGTGAGTGCATAGTTACTTTCAGCTTATACATAGATATAAAGTATCTAGATGATTAAATGCTATATGTGCCCATTATCTGTATTGCTTGATATCTTTGTTAGATGAATTATATGATTTTTACTCAATTTATAATATATGTATTTTTCATATATTTTTATAAAATATATTGGGTAGTGATGGGTGATGAGAATGATGAGATGATGATGAGAGGACTTGACTTTGATGAACCAGTCATCTAGTGGAGTGTAAATGACGACCACTGACTATTCTAGACATTCAAGTGGAAATGCTAGTAGGCTCACAACATGTAGGTGTTAATGAACTATCTTTTCATTTGATGTACTATATCCCCTTATGGTTGCCTTATGGACACATATTGCTAAAGGAATCCCCCAAGCAGTAGTGTCTACCCGTTGATGATGATGATCCTTAGGATATGTCCCCTGAGATCAATATTTTAGGATCAACATGTGAGAATAACAGAAATGGCTAATCGGGCTAAATTATTTGATGTGAAATATATAATTAAAAGAACTTAATTATTGTGGGTTGAAACCCTTATGTTCTCATTAGACCCCTAATCCTAACCAATTCAGTTTCTTTATATCACAGGGAGCGGTACAAAGGCACTTGAATGATGAGTTATTTGAGCAGTTTGTAGGCGATTAGTATAATAAAATGTTGTAAGGCCTATTAAGACTTGTTTAATCTTATTTATCTATATTCACAATGACATCCCATGATTTTAAATATAAATGAAATACATTTATTTGGAAATACTTTGATAATGATATTATCATGTTTTCGAGAACAAATTTTGCATTAAGTTTTATACTCAGAAATAAATAAAACATAAATAAAAAGTTTTAAAGTGACCGTGAAAATGGAGATGCCATATTTTGTTTGTTCACTGTTTTGCACTATCATAGGACCAAGGAAAGCATCACAACAAGCCCGAGGAGACCTATCCAACCTCCACCTGTTTTATTAATTTCCAAACAACCATGTGCATAATATTTTGAACAAATACGCTAATTGATTGGGGTAGTTACACAATAGAGAATTTCTTATTTCACTAATCAATGACTGGGCAAGGTTGAATGAAATTGGAATTTTGGAAAGACTCAACCCATCCATTACAACATTATATGTGGGGAATGGCATTTCATTTACTTGAAATGGTTGGAGGAACCTCTTTTCCATCAAAGAACCAGTTTACAAGGAGGTTTGTTTCGAATTCTTTGCTACAATGTCTTTTGAGGAGAATACAGTAGATCCTAAATAAAAAAAAGTGTTAGTGTTTCGACTTGGAGGTCAATATCGGGAGTGTATTTTAGTTGAATTGGCTTGGATGATAGGTTTATATGAGCAACATGAAGCCTTGTCACCTCCATTTGACATATTTTACGGGCCGTGGCAAGAGATTATTCCGAAGGGGACAATAATTAAGGCTTTTGGTCTATAATTGCAAATAGTAACTTTAACTCGGGGATCTCTCAAGAGAGTCACATAAGGTCTCCAATTCACCGCCTTGTTACATTTTCTATGAATCATAAGAAGCATGACAATAAGGTAACTAACCTCAATCTGATTTTTCTTTGGAGCATATTGGCACCAAGCGTTCTCTGCAACATTCCATACTTTCTTGCTAAATTTTTAGGGGAGAAAGCAGTTAATTCAAGAGCAGGAAGCCTAATCGTGGGTGGGAATTTTGTGACCTGCTTGGAGAAATCATTAGGTGTATTTATGTCGGGTATGGTTCGAGAATTGACATGCATTGAGGGATACGATATTTCCATGAACTATTTAGAGTCCATGCGTTTGGTGGTGAGTTTAAAAGGAATGTATGGAATACTAGTGAATGAAGAGGAGAGACCAAATTAAGGTGTGGAAGAGCAACCAAGACCAAGAAGGAGGAATGTGAGGCCAAGGGGTGAAAGAGCACAACCACAACCCCAAGATGTACCTATAGGAGGAGTTCCAACCGACACGTTTCAAAACCAGGTTGGTAATTACTTAGAAAACCTTCATGGGGGTGTGGATTACTTAGGTCAATCAATGGATGAGATATATTCTCAATTTCACATCGAGCACCCACCCAACATGCCGCCTCATTTACCTTATATACCTACTTGGGAGGAACTTTGGGCACACGGAAATTTTGGAGTCAGGACTAGCGAAGCAAATGGGATGAGGATTACGAATGTCTATCCTTTTAATTGTATTTGGTTATTTTTCTGTTTTTTTGGTGTGTTTTATTTATTTTTGTTTTGTTTTATTTAAACTTGTAACCGAATGGTGTTTGTTTTCTTGTTTCAGCCTAGGATTTTTGTTTATTTTTGTTGATCGCAGAATTTATAATTAGAAAAAAGTTGTGAGTGTTTAAACTTTACAATCGAAGGCCATAACTTTTGCTAAGTGCGAGGTGCCATTCGAGCGAGGAGGAGAGTTAGAGAGAATTTACAGAAGAAAAATAGGTTTTTTAAATGGGTCTTAAGCTATTAAGAAGTAAAGAAGAGAAATTCAATACATTTCAATTTGATAGAAGAGCATTTAGTGATGACCCAATTCTCAGACAAAACTACGAATTTGGTCCTTGTGGTTTGCCAAAACCTTTGGATGGGGTCCAAATAGTTTCCAGCTTGCACCAAAGGTCCAAAATCAAGGTTTTCTTGGGTTTTTAGTCCATTCCGTCATTGACCGTTTGTTTGGGGCCGTTAGTGCCTACACGTGCCCTCCATGTGAGGGCATTTTGGTCATTTTAGGTCAGCCTCCGTTGCCGCCACTTCAATTAATAAGAGTTCAGACTGTACTCACTCCTTCGTCTTCTACTCATTCCTCACTCCTTCGTCTTCTACTCATACCTCTTGATTCAAACGCAAAAACCCTAACGATCATCTGAAACTTTGAAAATGTGGGGACTTAGAAATGTTGGAGAGATTGTCAACGTTCAAGAAGTTTATGGTAAGATTCAAACTTAGAAAAACTCTGTATTTTATGATCAAGCTTCAAACTTTGAAAAACTCTAACTAATAATCGTCTCTTTCTGTTTTGAAGATGGTTACCCCAACATATTCTCTATTGAACTTCATCACGGAGGGAGTTTCACAAAGTTTCCAAATATCAGGTATATTAATGGCCAAGTAAGGTACTTTGATGTTGTCGACATTGATGAATTTTCTGTTCATGAACTAGACTTGATGATGAGAGAATTAGGGTATGATGGTACTGAAATCATGTATTACCATTTCCGTTTGCCTAATGAAGGATTTGACTTTGGACTCCGAGCATTAGGTAACGATGATGATGTGCATAATCTCTCACGATATGTTACCCATAATAACAAAATGATTAAAGTGTACACAGAGCATGGTCAAACGAACTTGCTTACATATTTTATGTCCCTAACTGGTCCAAAAAGGGTTATAATAGAAGACATGGAGAAGCAGGATTGCATTAGACCCTCATCACCTGTAGTTGCTCATGAAGTGGTAACTCCAATCCAAATTGATGTTGGTGAGGGTGATTTAGGGTTAGCATTAACCTTATACAAATCAGCAACACCTGAATTTAGTAGGTCTAAAGGTTGGAAACATAGTAAAGGGGCATCGTCTTGTAGTAGAATGCTTAAATTGGATTGGGAAGGTGCTGAAAAAACAATGGCAAGTGGTGAAGTTGATAAGGGTAAGGGTGTAGAAGGATTTGTAGATGAATTTGTTGTAGTTGATGCAGAAAAAGAGTTAAACAAAGAGATTGATGTGAATGAAGAACTTGATGTGAACAAATCCAATGGTGAGGGTGTAGAAGGATTTGCAGATGAGGGGTATAGAGTTGTCATGGATAATGATCCTCAAGGAGTCAATGAATTTTCAACTAACATCAACATAGATGATGAGTTAATGACAAACTTTCAACCTTTTGAAGGGTTTGAAGACGAAGATAGCATCCCATTTAATGGGTTTGAAGGCCAAGATAATATTCCTTTCAATGATGAGTGCAGACAAGAGGAGCCTGATGACATTGAGTTTGAGAATCAAAACAGTGAAGATGAAGATAGTGACTTTATGATTGATGAGGACAACATAATTGAAGATGTTGACGTTGACATGGAGGATTTCAATCTAAATATTGATATAGAAGCAGAGTTCAATGGATGTCAAAGAATGGGTGGTCAAAGAAATGAAGATAGTGTTGAAGAAGATGATTTGGAGGTAATTGACAATGACGAGTGGGATTCACTAAGTGATGACTCAGGGGACAACAGGAAAAGAAGAGAAATGATCAAAGAGCTGGGGAAACAAACCTTATGTTCTGCTGGAGAGGTGCACAAGGTAGCTTTTCATATTGGGCAGAAATATAAAGCCAAGAAAGAATTGAAAGATAAAATTGACCTGCATGCTTTAGAGACAAGGAGGAATATCTCATTCACAAAAAACGACAAGAGTAGATTAACAGTTGTTTGTGATGGAACTGTAGTTTTAAATGCAAGTGGGGTAGGTGGACCTACCTCTGGGAAAAAGGTAAAGGGTAAAGATGTAAACTCAGATAAAGTTAAATGCACATGGAAACTTCATGCATCTAGGTCAAGTGAACAGGACTATTGGTCAAGTGAATAGCAAACTTGTAAAAGGGAGAGACAAACCCATTATCAGTTGTTTGGAGTTCATCAGAGAGTACCTTATGAAGAGAGTATGCAATGTGATGAAGGTGTTAAACAAGTGTCAAGGTCCATTAACTCCAACTGGTACTAGGATTTTGGAAGCAAACACAACACTAGCTAGCAAGTATCATGCACGATGGAATGGGGTGACTGCCCAACAACTCTTGTGCCTCCACCACACAACAAAGCTATAGGCAGGCCAAAAAAGAAAAGAAGGATTACAGCAGAGGAAAGGATTGAAATCCAGCAACGTAAGAGGCAAGCAAACAGTCAAAGTCAAAATGATAATGAAACTCAATCACTGAGCAGGAAGTTTTTGACTGTTACATGTAGTAAGTGTAAGCAAAAGGGTCACAATGCCAGGACCTGCAAGGCCAAAGATGGGAATTGATGTTTAAGTACTTTTTATGTTTGTCAAGACTTGTTAATGCACTTTAGTTGGTACTTTGTTGCCTTTTTTTTGTTCCATTTTGATAATGTACTTTGATGCCCTTTTGATAATGTACTTTAATGCCCTTTGTTGGTAATGATTGTGTTTTGGCATTTATCTGTTATGGTCCCCTTTTGGTAATGTTGTTTGTTATTTGTTTATGTTGTACTGTCAAAGCATGAAGATGTTATGGCAATGTACTTAATGTATGCATATAAAACCATTACAATTGCATATTCAAACGTAGAGAAAAACCATTACACTTGCATATCATGTCAAGATCAAACCTTTATAATTTCATATTCATAAAAGGATAAAACCATTACACTTCCCATTGTCATAAAAGCATTACATATACAATGATCCAAAAGATAACACTTTTAAGTGGTTACTACCAACAAAAACATATATAAACCACAATTAAACCTTCTAGCACCAAAAGACAACATTTTTAAGTGGTTACTACCAACAAAAAAGTCCTAACCTCTAATTCCTATTTCCAAAACAGCACAAACAACAGAAACAAAATCCACGAGACAAGCAAACACATCTTCAGCTGGCCCACTTCAACCTCATACCTATTCATTGTTCTCAACAGTCCTGGTATGATAACAGTTGATCTTTGACACATAGGGGGATCGAACCACCCCAAAAATGCACATCTGGATCCCTACAAGAATACATTAAAGTAGAAGAGTTATTACTTAACTACCGACTTCTCTGTAACCTAATATCAGTTTGCTAACCATTTTAGGGCATGCATAGAAACGATGACCAGGGTTTCGTGAAGTCCATGAGGTTCGCACAACAGCAACATTCCCACAGAAGCATAGCACCATTTTTGAATCTCGTAGCAGTAGAAGTAGACGAGAGATGAAGAAGAAGAGACGAAGTAGAAGAGGAAGAGGATTCTTCTCTGTAAATAAAAATGAAGAAGAGGAAGAGGATTGCGTATATGTATATAAGGGAGAAATATGATATTATTTAAAATAAGTACCTAAAATGACCAAAATGCCCTCACATGGAGGGCACGTGTAGGCACTAACGGCCCCAAACAAACGGTCAATGACGGAATGGACTAAAAACCCAAGAAAACCTTGATTTTGGACCTTTGGTGCAAGCTGGAAACTATTTGGACCCCATCCAAAGGTTTTGGCAAACCACAAGGACCAAATTCGCAGTTTTGTCCAATTCTCATGATGTGACCACCACTATGTCACGTCGTGACAAGCCCTTATGTCGCGATTCCAATTTTGAAGATTTACTTTATCACTTTGTGACTACTCCTTGTTGGATTAGTGTCTAAGTCAATAACTATAATTGGTATGTACTTGACACGAGAGTAGCATGGTCCATTTGGGTTGCATGTCATTAGGAAAATTTGATAGGATGGACTTTTAAGAAGAAGTTATTTATGGTTTATTAATATCTTATATGTTCTAATATATTAATATGAAATCATATTGTTTAATTAGTTTTGATTAAGAATTAATTTGGAATTAATTTTGTGATAAAAAAGAGGCTAATTAAATATAAGGGGTGATTGGGTAAATCATTCATTCTTATAAAGTGGGCTTATGATCCATGGTTCTTTATGTTGGGCTAAACCCATGTGGTAACCCATGGAGCATGAGGGATATGAAAAGTCATTATGGTTTACATGGTGTAACCCTAGTTAGCCACACTATATAAGAACCCCTCTAGCTCATGAAATTGGCACTTAAGCGGAATACTAGAGGGCTAGCCGATTTGTGTGTACAAGGAATCTCTTCTCAAGTTATCCTTTGTTCTAGGTGTGTTGTAATTCCATTTGAGGCATTTATATTATTGGTGCTAAGCTCTTGAAAGTCCAAGCAACAAGCTACAAAGAAAAGGTATGTTATCTAACTTGTTTTATTAACTAAGTATTAAAGTTTTGTATGCTAGTTAGGGTAATACCTTGGAAAGTTCAACTTTGCATGTATAATTGAGAAAACATAGATCCAAGGTATTTAGGGTTGCATATACACTTTAGAAGATTTAGAATGCTCAAAACCCATTAGTGGTATCAGAGCCTAGGCTTGTTTTCAATTATATTTGATGATACTTGTGTTAAATGCTTAAAAAAATTCTTTTTTTGCTTTATGGACAGTGGACTCGCCGAGTGCAAGCATAAATTCATCTAACTCGCCGAGTCAGCTCCTGCACTCGACGAGTTGGTGCTCCAGAATGCAGATTTTTGAGTTTTTTGGCTGGAATTGGACTAGGATCATTACCCTAAGATGTTTTTGAACTTATAAACCTGTTTTTGATGTGGTAATGATCATGCTTATCCAATTTAAAATATAATTGTCAAAGTTTCATGTTTTGTATTACTTTATATGGTTAGGCTGATTACATGAAATTTGTTTGATGTGAATTGTCTTGTTCTTATAAGTTTAATTTAGATCATTGACAAAATTGTTTGATTTTTATAAGTTACAATAGTTGATCTAAATGTTTTGATGAATTCCATAACTTTTCCTCAAGTTATGGAAAATGAAAAGTTTTTTTTAAAGAGACTATTAAACTTATAGGTTATGAACTTGAAGAATCTTTTTTTTCTCATAAATGGTTTTATGAACTTCATAACTTGTCCTCAAGTTATGAATTTTCAAGAGTCTTTTCATTTAAACCCATATTAAACTCATAAGTTATTTATTCCAAAAGATATTGAATAGTTCAAAACTTGCCCTCAAGTTTTCGAATTTGTAAATGTAAAATTCTAGCTTTTGAAACATTTAATTTCAAACCCTAGAATTTTAAAGTTTAAAATTCTACCCTTATAATATTATAATATTATAGGTTTAATATATATATATATATATATATATATATATATATATATATATATATATATATTAGAATAAAGTTAGTCTTACCATTAGTAGGTCTCATTCACGAAGCCAACCTATAATGGGGGTATAAGGTTACTGCCTATAAAATGGTAGTTTAATGGGTGTCCACTCTCACACACCGCTTCCTTGACTGGTAAAGGGTCGTTAGCCGTACGGGTAGGATAGGACTCTAATTCTACCTTCATTAAAAGTATAATGATAAATATTAAGTAACTAAACACTTATAAATTCCCAAATCTTAGTTACTTAGAAACATTCCCAAATCTAGTCGTTAGTGGAGCGTGTGTGGTTAATCGGCACACTAATATGGACAGACAGTGCGTGGAAAAGGGTATCTTGATGTTAATCATATATCAATGGAGCATGTGTGGTTAACCGGCACATTAGTTAGGTGGTTTTAACATTGGGTGTACCAAGCTAATTTGCATGGTTATTCACACCTTGTTTGTGATCCTCGGCATCCCAGTCACAAACTTGAAGGGAACAATCAAGATTTAAACATGTTATTGAAATTCTCAATGAATCTCAAAGGATCTAGGAGTTTCAATTCACTTAAAACCTACAATTCTTTTTCGTTTTTCATGGTGGAAATTAGTAAATCATCATTTACCTACCTTCAAATATTTTGCAGTTTGGCTTACGACACCCGTCTTCCAAATTGTAAAATATTGTGTTGAGTCCTCACCTTAATATTTCATTTGGGTGTTATATTAAGGATTAAATCAACTAACTTGAATTTCTCCAATTGTAGATGTCTAGTTCAGACAACTATGGTATTCCCAAATCCTTTGGAACGTGATTTCCTATTGAAGATGATGTCCCACGGTTGGATCGTGGAAGTCAAGCTTCACTTCCTCCTCCTCCTCCAATAATTCTCCCTAACCCACAAGTTCAAAGACTTGAAAAATTCAAGGTCACTCAAGCCCTACTTGCAAAGAAACATAAAGATGGAAGGCTTGTGTGTACTCACGTCTTGGAAATGAAGTCACAAATTGACAGGCTGAGAGTATTGGGGGTTGTTGTCTCGAGGAAGTTGGTTCTTAACTGGGTTCTTCAATCACTTCCTGAGTCATATAGTGAGTTCATTAAGTACTAATATGTGACAGACCACGACATAACCCTTATTGATCTTACCTGTTTGCTTGTTGATGTTGAATCAACAATGATTTGGCGCAGTGGAAAAGCAAATTGATTGGAAGATCTACTCCCTAAACTTCCATGGACATTGACAATGGCAACATTGGAAGTCTAGAAAAGCTTTCTTTTCCCAATGGAAAGGGATCGGCCATTTTCAACCGGGTTGAACAAATGGTAAAGAGAAAGGCTAAGTCTGAGATTGTCCTGTGTACCATTCCCTAAGAGTCTATATGTTTCTATTTCCAAAAAAAGGGTTGTGGTTGCGAAGCTACCCTGACTACCTAAAAGATCCGAGAAAAGGTAGAATTGAAAAGTTTGACTCTACTTCAGGTAAGTCTACTGTCTAACTCTATTAAGTTCCTAATTGTTTATTCTTAATACATGATGTGACAAGGTTGCATTTTGATTTTTTGTAGGATCATGCAAAGGGAAAGAAGCTTAAAGGAAGAGTATGTTGAATCTGGTCGCGAAAATGAATTTCTATCACATGGTTCGATGATCGGATTTTTGAGT